ATAAATAAGAATATACAATAAATTACTCACCATATACCGTTGCTCCGTAAAAGCATCGCCCGATGCTTTTTGAGACCTTTTTTTCCTCTCTTGTTCATCCTTTGCTGTTTAATCGTAGCGTTCACACTCATTCGCGAAAACACGATTAATAATGGTTAGTCATATACGCAACGATTACGAAATATTTTGCACGACACTCCCGATTGCGGATTGTAATCACACAAGATACACACTTTATTATATCATAAAAGAGCAACATGGACAACGCACTTTGATGAAAATTTATCATCGTGATATGGTTTTATCTTATTTTTAAAAGTTAATTAATTATCTTATTTTCAAACATTAACCATTAATTATAATAATCATAGCGAATCATGTTTTAATACTTGTCGTGATATTTAGGAAAAGAATTCGACGATATATGAAGCGTTTTGCATCACTACTTTACTGCTTGAAAGTCGGTGTGTGAATGATAACAAGGCTGAATGAAAACAATAGAGACAGCTATACGCCACCAAGGCCGAACACCATGTTATTGATAATTTGTCGAAATATTTTACGTATAACATATATATGCGGAATATTAAAGTATAGACGAATACTTTAAATTACAGATTATATATTTTTATTAAAAGATTGATTTATCACGAAGCCTTTCGTTATGCTAATTACTTGATTCTTTGATTCGATTGTTTAATTTTTTGCGCGTTCTCAATCCGAATTATATTTAAATAATCGAAGTGTCGTATGATAAAATATTGGACAAAATATTTTTTCATAAGTATCGATAGAAAAATAGTTGTTGTTCTGTAAAAATCGCAACAAAACGATAATTTATAATTTCAATTTCCGTTATTTCGATTCTTACTTGATTCAATGAATAAATTACGCGAAATATGCGATTCGAGATCTGCTGTCGCGATATATATGTAGTTATATATTATTTATAAAAGTTAATTAATCATTAATCATAGCAAATAATTTTCTAATACTGGTTGCGATCGCGTTTAGAAAACGAATTCGACGGAACGTCTCGCACCACTATTTTTCTGTTCGAGTGTTGTCACGCGAATGATAACAGAGCTAAGACACGTAAATGATAGCGCGCCAATGTTTACGCCAAGGCCGAATATCATATTAGATATTGTTAATTCGCTGCCGAAATATTTTATGTATTATTACATATGCGAAATATTAAATTATATAAATATTTTAAATTATGGACCAATTATTTATTAAACGATTAATGTATCATCGAGCTTATTGTTATGTTAATTATTCGATTTTGCGATTCGATCGTTTTACAACACGTTCTTCATCCAAATTATATTTAGATCGTCAAAAAGTCAAATGATACATAGCATCACGGAAAAAAAATATATTTGACTCTATATATGTTGTTAAAGAAATAATTATTGTTCGTAAAGACCGCAACGACATGATAATTTATTATTTTAGAGATTCCTATCACTACGATTAAAATAAAATTTGGAATATTTTATGTATGCGTTATATTGCATGATAATATCGAATGAATCGCACTATCGAGAAAATAAAAAAAAGACGAGCAATATCTATCTAGCAATGTCTATCTTGAAAATATAATACAAATAATAATCAATTTATAAATTACTTACCATATCGTTGCTCTGTACGTCACCCAATGCTACTTCAGACGAAGGGCTATTCATTCAAGAAATCATTGAAGTACTTCTAATAATCAATTTATAAATTACTTACCATATCGTTGCTCTGTACGTCACCCAATGCTACTTCAGACGAAGGGCTATTCAAGAAATCATTGAAGTACTTTGGTATAAAATCAAAATCACAAAAAATCGGCTAAAATTAGAAAAAAATCTTTCGAAATCGAAGTCACGAAAATATCATTGAAATAACTTGAAATCAGAACAAAATCTCTGAACTTTTGAAATCAGTATAAAATCGCGTACTGATCGGATCGTATGAAATCACATTAAATCACATGGTTTTCTAATTGCTTGAAGTATTCATGAAATCGATAAAATCATTTGAAATCGACTTGAATCTGAAATCACTTGTTCATCGCACTAGTGCATAGCCCCTCGACTTCAGATCTTATTTTTCTGTCTTATTCATCCTTTGCTGCTCTTTCGTGGCACTTACATTCACTCGCGAAAACACGATTAATTATGATTAGTCGTAATCAATGATCGCGGAACACTTTGCACGGCACTCCCGATCGCGGAACAATTCCCCGAGATATACATTTTATTATATTATAAGAGAATAATACGGAAAGTACGATTCGCGCTCGACATTTATACGAGGCCAAAATCATACGCATCTTTACAAGAATGATATAGCAATGGTTTAATTAGTAATTATTTTATGCTTGCATTTCAGAAAAAGTTATCGGACGAAATATATTTGACTATAAAAATTGTTAAATAAATAATTATTATCCGTAAGAATCGATTATCGAAATTTACTATTTTTATCCCTGTTAATTCGATTTTTACTTACAATGATGATCACGGTTGAGAATTTAATAAAGATTTATATTTGCAATTACTTATATTCGCAATATAGTTTTGTATCGTTTATTAAAAGTAAATTAATCGTTAATTATAATAATCATAGCAATTTCTATTCCTATATTAGTCACGATCGCGTTTAGGAATAGCATTTAAGAATATATGAAGCGTACCACTACGTTACTGCTCGAGTGTCGCCGTACGAATAATAAGACCATAACATAAACAATAGGGTCACCAAGGCCGAACACTATGTTATTGAAAAATCGTTGCCGAAATATTTTACGTATTATTATATTATACACGGTATGTATACGGTGTATGTATATACGCGGAATATTAAAGTGTATAAAGTATATTTTAAATTATGATTAACTATTTATTGAACGATTCATGTATTACGAAGCCTTTCATTATATTAATTACTCGATTTTGCAATTTGATTGTTTAATTGCGCCATCTTGATCCGAATCATATTTACATGTCGTCGAAAGTCGAATGATAAAGCATCGGACGAAATATATTTAACTTTAAGTATTTTTGAAGAAATAATTATTGCTTATAAGGATCGCAATAAAATAATAAATCATAATTTTGATTTTTTCGGTCATTTCGATTCTTGATTAAATGTGTATATACATCACGCGAAATGCGCGCTTCAAAACCTATCATAGCGATATAATTACGTTTAGTTATAATATTAAATTATAATTATTATTTAAGATATGTAAAAGATAACTAATTATTAATTTTATCAAATTATTTCCCGATATTTGTCGTGATCGCGTTTACGAAAGAAATTTAGCGCAGTGTCTCGCACTGCTAGTTTACTGCTCGAATATTGCCGTGCAAATGATAACACGTAAGACAGGAATTTGAGTGTCTCGCCCCACTACAGTTCTATTCAAGTGTCGCTGTATGAATGATAACAAAGCCATGATACATAAACAATAGCGCGCCAATGTTTACGTCGTTACGTACAACGGTTACGTACAAATACCATGTTAGGTATAGCTAATTCGTTGCCGAATTATTTTACGTACTATGATATATATATATGTATATATATATAAATACTTATATAATTTAATATTTCGCATATATATATATATATATATATATATGCGAAATATTAAATTATATAAGTATTTCAAATTATGGATCAATTATTTATTAAACGATTAATATATCACGGAGTTTATTGTTATTTTAATTATTCAGTTTTGCGATTCGATTTTACACGTTTTAATTCAAATTATATCTAAAGCATCGAAAAGTCAAATGATATAGTATCGTGGATTTTATATTACGTTATATTAATAATTTATATTAATAATTTATATTAATATTTATATTAATTTAGTTTAAATATACAATATTTTTGAAATGTTATATATTCGTGCTATTTAATAAAATAACAAAAGGGAGAAATATATTAACAAGAAATATTTTTAATCAAAATAATATGTATTTAAAAACAAAAACAAAATAGTGAAACTCTATATTAACAAAAATTAAATAAAAGTTTTAATTACAAGTTTATCGAAAAATTAAAATGAACTAGTGCCGTACAATGTTGTAAATCAAAAGAGAAATGCTAATAAAGATTGATATTAATGCACATCAAAATTTAACATTATATTATTAATATCTATACGTTGCTAAATACGTTGCCTAAAAAAATTGCGCCATTTTGTGCCCTATCAGAGTTAATAACGATTTAAAAAACTCACCTTTTTAAAAAAAGGTAAAAAAAGGCGCCAAGTACACACGCCATTTGTGAAAAACTGTTATATGTATATATAAAATAGTATTATTTTAATTTAATATTAAACGAGATATTATTAAAGACCGGTGATCTTATGGGATTTAGTGTGACCGGAAAAAAAACTCGCTATGCGTTGTTTTAGTTCATGCAGTTATTGTTTTATTATCGAAAATGTATGGATCTTTTATGTAATTGCCTCAAGAACAATAAAACATTTTATTGTAAATTTACTGTTTTATTATCGACAATGCAAATAAGATTTACTTATCTATTATAGTAGCGCGTAGCGATTTTTTTTCCAGTAATATATGCTAAATCCCATAAGACAATTGGTCTTTAATGATATCTCGTCGGTATTTTCGATAATAAAATAATAACTGGATGAACTAAAATAACCGTATGAATTAAATAATTTAATTATCTTCGATGCAGTCGAACGGCCGGTAAACGCACCAAAAGAAAGAGACAGAACCACGGTCGATGGAACGGTATTTCTGTCCTTCATATGTTTCCATGCTGCCTTTCACAGCAGTAGCGGGATTCAGTAACTTGCTATCGACAGTTTTCGGTATCGTTAACTAGCGACAGCCAATGGCAAGGACAATCCTGGTGAAAAGCGCAACTCTCATAGGCTACCGCTCGCTAACGACAACGATAATCGTCGCTAAGACGTTAAAGAATCCCGCTACAGGGGTCGATCTATTCTATATATGTCTATGCTCAGACCCCACCACCCCACAATGGAAAGATTTTCTGCTACAGATGGCACTGTCATCTATATCTCTTATTGTCCATCAATATCAAATATTCTCTGATTTCCAAATATAATTATTAGCAAAAATGTCGGCGTGGAGACAAGCAGGATTAAAGTAAGAAAATTAATATATTCTCATTCTCTCGTATTTTATATTTTTTTCTTTGGACATATACCTAATATATAATTTTTTCATCGGGAATATTATGTAACCAAATTCTCATCTGCTCGTTAATAATCGTGGAATTATATCTTACGGAATGTTATTTGTGGATAATAAAAATCGAAGATGTATATATGTATATATAAATCTTTTTCTCCTGTTACAGTTACATTAACTACTCTCAGATCGCAGCGAGGTTAGTCAGACAAGCTTTGAAAGCTGACTTGAGAGTAGAGGCTGCCAAACGTGATGAAGTCAATGTAAAGTTTACTCAATGGAAAGATGGAAAACCCATCAGTATGTACATTTTCATTATTACAATTTTGTTTTATTATATTTTATCATTTATTTCATATTTGTTATTCTCTATTTCTTTCTTTTTTTTTTGTAGAATTTATTCTTTGATTATATTTTTGTTACATGTTACAATATATTTTTTTACAGCTGAAAAGTTATAATCACAATGATCAGTAAGTCTGTGATTTGTGTTATAAACATGTCTTTAGAAATGTTTGTCATTTTAATAGCATACTTTTAATATACTATCTTCTAATACAAGTGTGACAACTGTTATCTCAAAAAATATTTCTTTTAATCATTGTGTATAATATAATTGATGGTTGCTTTTGCATTTTTCTTTTTTTTAAATTATATAGCAATTTAATAATTTTTTAGTATTACTCTGCATTTGCATTTTGCAATTTCAAGCGATATTATATTTTGGCGATAAAATAAACAATATGCTTGATATATCTGAATATATCATTTATCTCTATAAGCCACAGGATAATATTGTTTGAAGTTAAAGATATAATTTTTCTTTTAAAACAAATAACATATTTTTGTCTTTGTGTTTCATTAATAAGCATCTTCCTTTAAAATTTATAATATTTATAGTATATTATACATTATAACATATATATTTTTATTACAGAAACTGCCTAGATGTGACGATATTACAGATGGATACAGAATTCATCCAGTACATAGCTACAAATTATATATAATAATTTCTGTTTCCGTATAAAGTAAAACCATTCTTTACACTGTTACTTTACTTTTCTTTAATTTAACCTACCTGTAATTAATTTTTATAGCGTCATCTTAAAACAGAACAGTGTGTCTTGCAATGCACTGAAAAAAAGAAAATTTTTTTTTATAGTAAAATTGCTTTCATCATTATTTGCTGTTATGAATGTTATTTTTACCAATAAATTCTGAAACTAGATCGTTCTCATTTTCTCCACGCATAGTGCCGGTGATTTCTTCATCTTCTACCATTGGCAAAAATAATTGTACAAATTCTGCTGTATATGGAGGGGCTATTGCTTCCAAAACCTAACATACATTGCACACTCACATTATAATAAGATATTAATATATTATAATGTAAACTGCATTAAAAAAGAAAAAGGTATTATATAATTTACCTCTGTAACAAAATATCTAATTAGAGATACATCTGTATCTCCACGTTGCCAACATTGCTTAATATAGCATACAACGGGTACTACACAGCCTCTGCTCAACAAATTCACCATTCTATCAATTAACATCTTTTTCATTTCCAGCTATGTAGGAAAATTATTAAATTTAAAACGTTGATAGTTTTTCGGTTTTAATACTATTTGTGAAGACTAAATTTACCTGTACAAGTATCTCTAATTCATCTTGTTTGCTTTCAAATAAATGCACAAGTAAGTTTAATATTTTTGTATGCAACAGAGAGTGACAGACTACAACTTCGTCCAATAAAGCAAGGTGCACAGGGCAATGCTCTGTACATAATTTGAAATATGATGGTTCTGTTACAGTGCACTCTACCCACCGAATTACACCCACACTTACGACAGGAAACCTATGAAAGATATATTAGTGAAAAATATTTTCTTTTCCATGACACAGAGAAAAGATATTAAAAGTCAATTCACCGTATGCTTTGATATAGAGTGTGCAATTCTGCTATTAGCTCAGTTGATCCTTTGTTTATATTACATATATTGTGTACTTTCTCAATTGCCTGAATAGTCGTTTTTAAGTCGTCTTTATTAATTTTACGTGTGTTGCCCTTTTTAAGAGTTGTTTCACATACACTTGCTGCATAAGCTAATAGATAAATATATTTTGATTTATGTTCAGGATTTATCTTAACACCAGGTTTAAACAGTGCATCAACCAGTAATTCTGCAATGTACAAAGTTTTATCTTAGATCTCTGTTATCTTTTATTTTATTACTATATTATTCCTACTATAAATACTTTTGATTATTACTATATTATAAATAATCAACATACCTAAGAATTGTGGATTACGCAACAATTCAATAGGAGGTGGCTCTGGTGCAGAATAATTTCTAAATAATACAGTAATATCAGCTGGATTTAAAGTATTTCTCGATAACATAGATGCTAATGCTTGACATGCTCCAGGGCTACTGGCAGCACCATTCAGTGCCATTGTTATTGGAGTGACATCGTGTCGATTCTGCTGAGCACACTTGGTGATTTCTTGAGAGAGCCTTTTCATCATAAAACCACCGCGAGATTCTTGTGCAAGAATTTGCAACAAGACTTGACTATATACATAAGTGTGTTGACCGTGACACACCATTTTTGCGCACTCTTGTATACTGGATTGCCAATTTTCTGTATTTTCAAGAAATCCAGCAATTGCAGTTTTTAGTACACGTGAGAAGACTTCGATTTGTTGAGCTGCAGTTGAAATACTTGTAATTTCACCTTGGAATCCAGCATCAGATATAAGTTTGATGGTAAAATTTAACATTAAACAATCTGGATATTCTTCCGCGAGCCTATAAATAAGGGATCGCCAAGTGGGATGCTGTATCATTTCGGTTAACCAAGCAGGGGTTTCACCCTCTTCTGTAAAGATTTTATCTGCTTTTTTGGGGTCGAAAGTTTTGAGGATCATATCCTTCAAATTGTTTTCTACCATTGCTTGCACATCGGTAACTTTTACCCCGGCAAGAATCAGCCATTCTGCAAGAAGGTTTGCCATTTGTGCGCAAGCTGTATAATTCTTGGACAATAATTCAATGACTTGTTCAGGATTTCCTCCAGCTTGAAAATATCGTTTAAGTTGAGCAAAAATGCCAGGCTCCATTATATAATCTGGTGTTTTGAATTTATCCAGACATTCATTTAATACTTCTTGCGGATTATCAAATGCATCTTCTCCACTGCAGTCATCAGTACTTCGATTCATCTCATCTCCCCAACCACTACGATCTTCATCATAATCGGACTCCATCTAAATAATAATTATTTAAATGGTTAGTATTAATTATCCACTAATATTATTGCATACAAAATGTGTGTATATATATATATA